GACACACGCGGGTGTGAGAGGGCTGGACACGCTTAGGTGTGAGAGGGCCGGACATACACAGGTGTGAGAGGGCTGGACACACGCAGGTGTGAGAGGGCTGGACACGCTTAGGTGTGAGAGGGCCGGACATACGCGGGTGTGAGAGGGCTGGACACATGCGGGTGTGAGAGGGCTGGACACACGCGGGTGTGAGAGAGCCAGACATACACAGGTGTGAGAGGGCTGGACACACGCGGGTGTGAGAGAGCCAGACATACACAGGTGTGAGAGGGCTGGACATGTCTGGGTGTGGGAGAGCCAGGCTGGACACACCCAGTAGTGCGAGAGCTGGACATACATAGGTGTGAGAGGGCTGGACACACCCGGGTGTGAGAAAGCCAGACATAAGCAGGTGTGAGAGGGCCGGACACACCCGGGTGTGCATGTGAGTTACCCCATATGTGCAAATACTTTGGTTTGTGACTCCAACACCAAGGTGGGGAACTCATTTTTTAATGATCCTTTTTAAAACCTGATCTTCTGGTTTGACCCAGACTTTTCAATAAACTTTGAATTTTAGCAGAGATGATTTAAACATTCTTTGGTCTCTATGTTAGAGGAAGATTATTTCAGTGTAATTAAAAGAACTTTTAAATTTTACAAGACATTTTTAAATATTAGCTCTTTGTATCTATATACTGTTTGACCACGTTTACCTCCTACGTTTTCATTTTCTCAGGTGTTTTATTGATGAAACATTGAAAAGTTGTTTTAGATTTTTACAAGACCACTGTAGTGTGTATATGTAGAGAAATATAGAAACAGTGCTTTCTTTTTGTAAATGGAAGTTTGAAAAAAACAAAACCAAACCAAAACCCATTATTAATGATTCATTGTTTATTACACATGCTTTCTTAACAAGTGATGTGGTCAGAAAATGCAACTCTTTTCTCTTTCGTTTGTTCGTCTGCCTGTAGGAGGAAAGTTGAGATCATGCACACCCACAGTCTCTTCACTCTTCTTGGCGAGCGTCTGATGCTGCACACGGGTACCGTAACGGTCACCACCTACAACACCCTCTATGAGGTAACGCCTCCTCCTTGCGTGCTTGGTGGCACTCAGGACGAAAAGCTAGCTAAACCGGAATTGTGATGAAAGAACAGAACTTTGTTTACTGTCTGTAAAAACGTGTCCATATGCAGTTGGCTAATACTTGGCTATGGATTGGAGCCTGTCTTGGTGGGTTTTGTATAATAGGCATAAGAGGGTGTGAGTACAAACAGAATTTCCCTGGGTACAGAGACAGCTCATGTGGTGGGGAGCCAAGCATGTGTCCCTACCTCTGCACCCTCCCTGTCTACAGGTCCCCTGTGGTCCCTGGGCTGTGGTCTTGGAGCTGTGGATTGTGGACTATGTGCTGTGGGCACTTGGCTGTCAGATATGAGCCTTGTGCTGGGCTCTGTGGGTAGTGGATCTTTTTCTAAGGGCCATGGGTTATGGAGCCTGGGCCGTGTGCCCTGGGCTATTGGCTGTTTGCTGTGGGCAAAAAAGTATGTGGATTATGGACTCTTAGCCATGGGCTTTGGACTTGGGCTGCGGTGTGGGCACCAGACTTCCATCACTCTGCAGAGAAGGCCCACTGGGATGTCAGCAGAGTCCCACTGGGATGTCAGCAGATTCCCACTGGGATGTGAGCAGATTCCCACTGGGATGTGAGCAGATTCCCACTGGGATGTGAGCAGATTCCCACTGGGATGTGAGCAGATTCCCACTGGGATTTTGAGAAGCCTATTCCAGTGACTGCTGCTGCCGAGATCTTCTACAGGAAGTTCTGATAACTTTGAGAACTGATTTGTTTTTCCATCAGAGACTGATTTTGTGTTTGGGTCGCTCTACTTGTGTAACTTTGATTCCAGCTGTAGTCACCCAGAACCGGAGCGTCACTGTGCTCACCAGGGCTGCTCACACTGCTCTCCCGGAGACCCCTCCTCAGTACAGCCGCCTCAGTGTTGGAAGTCTTCATACAAGCCGACTGCTACTGCTTTCTCCGGTGGAGTGGCTGGGGGTTTGAACCACACACCTCTTGGTTAGCAATCAAATTCTTTAACCATTGCCTCACCACGGCTCCTGCATTATATATGCGGTTTGCCTTTCCCTACGTATATCTGTGAACAAGGCTGTGAATCAGACAGCAAGAAGCCCAACATCAAGTTGCATTAGATAGTGAGATAAAACTAAAATAAGATTTGTAGAAAATTAATTTTAAGAGAAAAAGAGATCAGTGAATTATAGCCCCATCTTTTGTACTTTGGCTCTCCCTTCACCACCATTTATGCCTGACCCACCTCTCCCTTCACCGCCAATTAGACTTGACTAATTGAGACCTCTCCCTTGAACCTCTCCAGTGATTCCTTCCAAAGATCTAATCAGTGTGATTCCTGAGAATATCATCAGGTGAAATTCATATATAGAGCCTGCATATATGTTTACTTATACCTGACCCACCTCTCCCCCTTCACCACTTCCATGACCCACCTCTCCCTTCATCACCACTTATACCTGACCCACCTCTCCCTTCTCCACCACTTATTCCTGACCCACCTCTTCCCTCTTCACCCTTTATACCTGACCCACCTCTTCCTTCTCCATCACTTATACCTGAGCTTCAGAATACACTTCCTAAAGACATGTTACTGATTTTTTTTCATATACTTACCAGTTTCAGTAACAATATTTTCACCTTAAAACTTGAGGTGTCTCCTTGTTAGTATGCACTCTTTCTCCAGCTCAGATTAGTACCTGGGCAGACAGACAGCTGGGGGTGAACTTAGAGGATGAAAAATCAGTTTCTTAAGGAAATAACTAATCGGTTTTAAAACATGCATTTACTTTCTTGAGTTTTTCTGTCTGAACAGAAGTGTTCCTGAGGACAAAAGACTTTTCCAAGGTAACTCCGCTTTGAAACTTTGAGTTGCTCGTTACAGCATTGGTGCTTTCTGAATTACAGAATTCGGAAGGGAGTTAGTGTGTTAGATGCCACCCTTTTTATAAATTGGTTCCGCAGATAAATGAAGAGTCACAAAATTAGAGAATCTGGAAATCTCTCAGGGTTTACCTGACTGCCCACCAGTCACAGGTGTTTAACAGTGAGTGCATGTAGTGGCTGGCTGCTTTGAAGAGTGCTTGAAGACCTGCCTCTGTGGTGGTTGCAGTTTGTAAGCTGGTCTGTTGCTTCCTTATTTGTTGTCTGACTTTCCAGTTCATTTGAACTAGACACTTAAAAATCCCAAGACTTGGGTAATAGACATCATCATCCTAAAACTGACTTCCTGTGAATACTGCTGAGAGAGAATATGGAGCAGCCATGAGTTTGTCTTGGAGGAAGTGCAATCAGCGTGCTTCTTAGAGGCAAGAAATAGGCAACTTCATCCCAGATTCTCTGGAAAAGCATGTCATGCTGGGAGAGTGGAGGGGCATGTGACGGGTTGACATCGTCAAGATGTGCACAGTGTGCTGGATCATATCAGAGATCATGAATACGTAGTGTAGGGCAAGACTCAGATCTGTTAGGAGAGGCATCGTCGGCGATTTAACAATAGCAGCAGCTGTCTCAGAGGTAAACTTGAAGAAAATGAAAACAATCCATAAGAACCAAAATCTGACCCGGAGTGGATCCCAGCAGAATTTAGAAATCATCTTAAACATAGATTTGACACATTTAACAATAATGACCTCAAGAGTTGTGGAATGACATCAAGGACATCTTCCAGAAAGAAAACTCAAAGTCATTATGAGAACAGAAGAAAGAGAATACAGAAATGATGTCAGAAGAGACTCTGCAACTTGCATTGGAACAAAAGGAAGCTAAAACTACGTGAGGGAATGCTGAGTAGAGAAAGATGAACAGAAGAGCCCCCTCAAAGGGTAGCTCCAGAAAGCAAAGTATTACAATGACTACTGCAAAGAATTAGAGTTAGAAAACCAAGAGAAGAAGAATGTGCTCAGAACTTTTCAAGCTGAAAGCACTGAAAAATGATTTCAAGCCTCAAGTTGCAACACAGAAGGATTCTATGGGCAAATCCTGGATGATGCAGGAAGCATCTCGAGAAGTGGAAATCATGCAGTCACAGCACTGAAAAGAACGGGTCATAGGATCGTGTGAAGAGCTAGCATATAATTAAGAATTAACAATACTGAAGGAGGGAGGCCAAACTACACTGAAGCCATTGGCAAAAATTAAGGTCCCAGAAATTGATAAAATACCAGTTGAGGTGTTTCAGGAAAGAGACACAACCCTGGACATTGCTTACCAGTCCCTGCAAAGAATTATGGAAGGCCAGCCGACTGGATGAGATCCAGATTTGTTCTCATTTCCAAGTAGGTTGATTCAACAGATTGTAGACATTATTGAATAATATCATTAATATCACATGCAAGTAAAATCTTGCTGAAAAATGTTTAAAAAGAACCTGCACAGTAGAAAAACAAGGAATTGCTCAAAGTCCCTAAGAGACCATTGTTATTAGGTGTCTTCACGTTGAGTCTGACTCACAGCAACCGACCCTATGAACAGTGGATCTGAACCTTATCCTATCCTGTGCCATCTCCACACTTCCTGATACAGAAGACCCCATTGCAGCAGTTATTGAGTCAGTCCATCTGGTTGAGGATTGTCTTCTCCTTCGCTGACCATTCACCTTTCCAAGAATCATGCCTCTCTCCAAGGAACAGCCCCTCCTAGCAACATGCCCAAAGTATATGAGGCAAAGCCTCATCTTTCTTGCCTCCAAAGAGCACTCTGGCTGCACCCTCTCCAAAACATACTTTTTGCCATCCTTGGGATGTTTAGTACTCTTCTCCAACACCACAGCTCAAAGGCATCAATTCTTCTGTCATCCTTACTCATTGTCCAGCTCTCATATGCATAGCAAGTGATTGGAAGACCATGATCTGAATCAAACACACGTTAATCTTCAGATTGACATCCTTACTCCTCAGTAATTTGGAAGGGTACGTAATTTTCCCAGTGTAATATGCCTCCTTATTTCCTGACTGCTGGTACCAAGGGTGTTAACTGTGGACCCAAGTAAGATGAAGTTGTTGACAGTTTCACTCTCTTCTCCATCCATCATGATGCTTCCCATTGATCCAGTGGTAAGAATGTTTATCTTCTTGACCTTGAGATGCAGTACATATTGATGGCTCTATTTCTGTCCCTTACAAGTCCTCCTCACTTTGAGCAAGCAAGGTTATGTCATCTGCGTAATTCAGATTATTGATGAATCTCCCTCTAATCCTAATACTACATTCCTCCTCATAGAGTCCAGCTTCTGGAATAATTTTCTCAGCATACAGATGCAATAGGTATGAAGAAGGAATACAACTCTGACGCACTCCCTTATTAATTTTAAGCCATGCAGTGTTCCCCTGCTTTGTTTTACATGAGCACAGTTGAGTGCTCTGGACTCCCATTCTTCTCCATGTCAGCCATAACTTGTAATGATCCATGCAGACAGACACCTTGGCATGGTCAATAAAGCAGAAATATTCTCCTGGTATTCTCTACCCTCGGCCTTGATCCTCTGCCATCAGCAATGATAACCCTGGTACCACAGCGTCTTCTAAATCCTGCTTGAACTTCTGGCAGTTCCCTATTTTTGTGCTGTTCTGGCTGTTTTTGAATGATCTTCGGCAGTATTTTGTTGGCATGTGATATTAATGATACTGTTCTCTAGTTTCCACATTCTGTTGGGCCATCTTTATTGGGAATGGGAACATATATGGACCTCTTCCAATTCATTTGCCAGACAGCTGTCCTCCAAATTTTTTGGCATAGACTGGTGAGCACATCCAAGGCTGCATCTGTTAATTGGAACAAATCAGTTGGTATTCCATCAGTTCCTAAAGCCTTATTTTTTGCAAATGCCTTCAGTGCATCTTCTACTTCGTCCTTCATTACCATTGGCTCCTGCTCATATTGTACTTGCTGAAAATTTTCAGTGTCATTTAGTTCTTTCTGGTTCAGTGATTCTGTGTATTTTTTCCATTTTCTTTTGATGCTTTCCGAGTCATTCAGTGTACTGCACATAGCGTCTTTCAAATATTGCAACTTGAGGTTTAAGTTTTTCAGTTCTCTCATCTTGAGAAATGAAGAGGAAGTTCTTCCTTTTTATTCCCCACTTCCATCTGTTTGCACATTCCATTATAATTCTTTTCTTTGTCTTCTTGACTTGCCCTTTGAAATCTTTTGTTCAGCTCTTTTACTTCCACATGTTTTCACTATGTTTTGGCTTCTGGATGCTTTAGTGCAATTTTCAGAGTATCTTTTGACATCCATTTTGATTTTTTCTTTCTCCTCTTATCTAATCTTGGCTGAAACCGTAAAATACCAGAGAAATGCTTACTTGTTCTTTATTGATTATCTAAAGACATTTGAATGTGTAGATCATAACAAATTATGGGTAACTGTGAAAAATGAGAATTCCAGTATACTAAGTTGTGCTCTTGGGGAACTTACACCTCGACCATGGAGAACAAGTGTCTGAACACCACAGTGGGCTTGTGCATATGAGAGCTTTGGAGCATGAAGCAGGACAGGGTAAGGTTACCTCTGTTGTTCATAGGATTACCATGAGGCACGGGTTAGCTTGATGGCTCCTAATCCCCATCCCTGGCTTGGAAGGGGAGCTGACCACTCCTGAGCAGGAATTGTCAGCAGAGGGCATGGCTTGGCCCTGAAGCCCATCTGAGGTACAGTTATTTCTCCTCCACAAACTGGTGACCTGTGAACCAGGAAAGAATTCCATTTAGAAAGTGAGAGTTTGACTTGGGCATTAGTAGTGTGCGGCTGGGCTCAGGTCTAGGTCTACAAATAGCATGTGTCAAGTTGGCTCCTGCCTGATCAGTGACTGTCAAGCAGGCCTGCTGAGAACAGAAGTTTGTGTGAATCTCAGAGACACTGGATTCTCAGTTCACATCTGCCTTTGTAACCTCCATGCTGTTTGATTTTCTTGGGAAGTGGGATTAGTTTATACAAGCAAACAAATGCATCTGAGGCCACCAAACTGATTCCGAGTCAGGGCAACCCTGCATCAGCTTTTTTTTTTGTTTCCTTGTGTATCATTGAGTCGAATCTGACTGGCACAGGAGGAGATTGCCCCACCTTCTGCAGCAGGGCATCTGGTGGATTTGAACTGCATGCCTTCGAGATTGCCTTAATTGGGTTTTGAGACTGTAAATCCAGACAGGACAGGCTTCCTCATCACTCTCCAGTAGAGAGGCTCTTGGAGTCAAACTGTGGACCATTTGATTAATCTGAAACAGCCCAGGGCTTCCAGTTTCCGTATTTCTGATAAACCGTGCCTTCTCCAAACTTACGTTGTACCTATGATTTAGAGGGATCTTGTTTACTAGGCTGCCAGTTGGCCACATGAGTGTGACCACTCCGTGTGGGCATCTGCCTGCCGCTCCTGGTCGCTTTGGATGGCCACGTGGCTGCACCTAGGACAAGCAGCCGAGGGCAGTGCTCTTTGTGAAGCAGGCAGTGCTGCGTTTCCGTGACGGGGGGGTGTCTGCTTGGGACGATCAGAGGCACTTCTGCCCGATACGTGCCACTGCAGGAATAGCAGGTTTCAACTGCCCGATACGTGCCATTGCAGGAATAGCAGGTTTCAAGTCCTAACCTTTTGATTTTGGCATATATCTCTGATATGTGTTTACCAATTTTCTGTCTATTTAATAAACTGAAAGGGAGAAATGCCACCGCTAGCTGTCCTGGCCTTTTCTGTGAGAAGAGGCCACCCGTCCCTAGCTTGTTTTACTCTCTCCATCCCCACTGTTGGCCACGGGCCCTCCTTAGAAACAGTAGGCTCCATCCCCGACCGCCACCATAAGGTGAACATTGCAGAATAGCAATCGTGTTTCATTTTTATTTCCCAGTGCACATGAAAGTTATGCTTACACTGCACTGCAGACTATTGTGTGGGCAGAGTGTTACGGAGAAGTTGGAAATATTACGAGAGTTACTGAGACAAGGACGCAGAGTGAGCAGTCAGAAAAACGGTGACCATAGACTTACTCAACCTGCAGCTGCCAGGCCCTTCCACTCCTGACCAGTGTCTGTGATGCATGACCACACCCACCCATCCTTCCCACTTGGGGCTAGAGTCTGAGCTGCGCGGCCTCGCCCACACAGCCCTTCCTTGGACCCAGGACAAGTGATGCGTGGACACACCCATCCTGTGGCTCTGTTGGTCTCCCTGGCGCATCTACAACACAACCAACAACCAGAGGCCGTTAGTCAGCAAAACTAAAAACCCACACAACACACAATAAAAGAAGCACACCTGTCTAGGTATATCGAAGTGCTTTCTGAACTAATTTTCAAGTGTGGTTTTTTTTTTTAATATATATTATTTTCACTGATTGTAGCTTGAACTTGTAAAAGATCATTCTAAACCTAATACATAGGGCGAAGGAGCCGATTTCATCACCACTGCAAGAGGATGTCTTCATAAGTACAGGCACACCTGGACTTTGCCCACTTCACAAACCCTGTTTTGTTTTGTTTTGTTTTTTCTCCAGAAGTTGAAGCTACTGACAACCCTGCATGGGAGCTGATGCTGTTTTCCACAGTGTGTGCTTGCTTTATGGTCTCTGCCTTTGTCACTGGCTTTCACATTTCCCCTAATTCTCTTACACTGACTAGAATACTCAGAAAAGCTCATTGCCATCAAGTCATAACGAACTCATACCTGACTCTCAAGTGGGTTTTCTAGAAGTTTAAATTGCACAGAAGCAGATAACCATCTTTCTCTTGTGGAGAAATTGTCTGTTTCTCTCTCTGGGTTAGAACCACTTAAGGGGTGCCAACGTACTTCTCATGGCCTGTGTCCTCAGAGGTCCATCCCCTAGTAGACTACAATAGAGTGCAAACATGACGCTATGCATATGCATTGGGCAAGAGAAACCCCATGGGACTCTCTGTTGAGATAGTACCTTTCTTGCAAACTTGAAGAGTCTCTGCAGCAAGCCTGTACAGCTTTATTGGACTTTAAGGGGGGGTGGGGCGGGGCGAAGAGGAAAAACACAAATTGCCACTGTCCATTTTCTCATTTAACAAGGTGGCAGACACATGGGAAGTGTGCTTGTGAAGAGGACAGCAGGCATTCTGTTCTCATCAAGCTGATGAGAAGACAGTGTTTAAACTTCTGTTCATTTTTTTTCCTCATCCAACTTTCCACCATTTGCTATTGGAAGAAAATGAAAACAATTGATAAGTGAATGACAAATCACATTCTTTTTTCTTTTTATATTTTATTTTATTATTTGTGTGTGTGTACTGTCAAATTGGATCTGACTGGTACAGGAGGAGATTGCCCCTCCTTCTCCAGAAGAGCATTTGGTGGATTAGCACCGTGTACCTCTGGGGTTGCAGTGCAGCTTCTTGCCACTAGGCCACCAGAGCTCCCCTCGACAAATCATTCTTAGGAGTATTTTCCTTTGTTGTTTTTCAGTTTGAAATTAACATTATTTTCCATTCTTATTTTCTCATTTTGACATGAATAGAGATAGGAGTAGTTAATTGTTTCCGCTCACTTGTATGGATGTGATGGTACCATAGAATGTCCGCTTCCACCTGAAAAGATGGGGCTTTGAATCCACTAGCAGCTCCAAGGACAAAAGATGAGCGCTCACCTTCTAGAAATAGCCACAGCCTGGAAACCTGGGGGAGGGCTGCTGGCAGCTAGAATCAGCCTGGGAGCAGTGGGTTTGGGGACTTCTTTTTTTTAATTGAAATTGTATTTTAAACAATAGATTCATGGATTTCCTTAATTGTTTTTCCTACTAGAAGTAATCATCCTGGTTTTGTCCTTATCAATAAAGGGAACTTGTAAAATACATAATGCAAGAGGTTAAGAGTTTGTCGGAGTCATCAGAAAGACTCTAAATGAGCTATTTCTTTTGAATTGAACAGAAATAACTTTCTTTCTATAGATTCTTTTTTCATTTCTTGCTACTTTAGTTTTTTCTCTCTGGTTTAAATTCTTTCTTTCAGATCCTGACAGAGCAAGTGTGCACGCAAGTTGTCCATAAACCACATCCAGAGCCAGAGTCTACCGTGAAGATCCAGAATCCAAGTGAGCAAATGTCCCTTCTTCCTCGTCAGGCACTTGTACCCTGGTCCCACGTGAGACTGAAGCAGACCTGCCCTAACTGCCTACGTTAGAGTCCGTCCAACTTGGGCTGAGCATCCAGTCGCAAAGCAGCAAGCACTTCTGGGTTTGAAGAGGCTATTTGTCTACAAATCTTCAATACCTGTTTCTGTGTCATTTACAGTGATTCTTAAGGTAGTGGCGACTTTGTTGAAAAATTCCACGCCAAGCGCAGAGCTGATGGAAGTCCGGCGTTTGTTTCTCTCTGACATGATAAAGCTTTTCAGCAACAGCCGTGAGAACAGAAGGTAAGCCATTTGAAGGTGGTGACAAAACTGTATTCCATTTATTCTGTTCCAGTTTTCACTCTTGATCAAATGATAATGTTTTGTATTTTTTCCACATTGATAAGTACTACTCATCATTATAGAGTCAAGATCCTTTGATATGATCTGTGCCCAGTGTATTTTGATAAATGAGGTTTTTATTTATTAAAGAGCCTTGGTGGTGCAGTGTAAAAGCCCTTGGCTGGAAAAAGTGAGCAGTACAAACTCCTCTGTCACAGAGTCGCTGTGAGGGGGCGTCAGCGTAAACAAATGACAACATCATATATTACATTTCATGCACACAGAACCTTGTTTACATATGTATGTGGTGAGTGTACATAGGTACAGCTTGTTTCCATCTGTATGGATGGACGGTCACGAATGGACGCAGACACACCTCCCGACTGTTATGAGTGGATGTACCATTTATAAAATGGACATTTTTCTTGAGGTGACACGTGCCTGTCACCCACACTGACTGTGCTTTTATTTGTGTTCTGTTTACCCATATTCACTTGTTCTTTCTCCCCATTTGTTCTCTCATGATGTCATTTGTTTCGAGTCAACTACCTAGGACAGTGAAGTGTGTCTGAAACCTTGGCTCCGTGGCTCACTGAATCCCCTTTTTCTGTTACTGTGCTGGGCGCGTCATGGACGGTGTCATCCTGGAAGACACTCTGACCTCCTGGGAGAGATTATCTTGGAGTCAAAGTTAGGTTTTAGTGTTGAGGGTGGTGTAAGTGATAAGTGTAGTAAAAGTTAAGGACACTGAGTGCCCCTCGGCAAGGGGTTTTGAACCACTGGTTGGATTTTTGGAGGTAGAGAAATGGAGGCAAGTTGCAGTGGGTGCGATGTGTGCTTTACCTCTCCTGTGGTCAGGCCGTGTTGCCGCCAGCTTTGTGCATTCTGGTCTGTGGCTGTCTCTGACGAGACCCCCTTGTCCCCGCAGATGCTTACTGCAGTGTTCAGTGTGGCAGGACTGGATGTTCTCTCTGGGCTACATCAATCCTAAGAACTCCGATGAGCAGAAGATCACCGAGATGGTCTACAACATCTTCCGGATCCTTCTGTATCATGCAATCAAATACGAGTGGGGGGGCTGGCGAGTCTGGGTGGACACCCTCTCCATAGCCCATTCCAAGGTAACCCTATGGACACAGTTCCTGTAAACCATCATTTGCTGCCCTCTGCTGTTCAGTGCAGATACGGCCGCTTTCCACATTGGGGTTTCCACTCCACGTTGTCCCTCCTCTGCCATAGAGGACAGACCTGTTGGTGGTGTGCGGTACGTGTGCCTGCTAACTGATTGACAGCTCGAACCCACCAGCTACTCCATGGGGGACAGATGAGATGTCCGGTGCCCCTTTGGCTTTAACTCACTTCCTAGAGTTGGAACTGAGTCCGCGCTGACCGTCCAGATGCAGGCAGGAGAGTGCCCTTCCCTGTCCCAGAGCTGCTCGTGGATTTGAGGCGCAGAAGCACCTCCTTTCTCTTTAGCAGCACAGCACCCTGCAGGTAGGGTCGGTGGTGTACCGCAGGTCTCACAGGACATCGCTGCAGTGCACTTGATTGGACTTGATTCCTGACGGAGCCCTGGTGGTCCTACGCTAAAAACATCAGCTGTAACCAGAAGTCAGCAGTTCAAACCCACCACCACGTCCTGGGCAACGGCTGAGCAGTTTGCTTCTGCTTCCATTGAGAGTTACCGTGTGGAAGCTCTGCTCTGTCCCACATCACTGTGGGCACAAGAAGTCTGGAGTGCATGAGTTCTTAGAATGGGCGCTCTGTGGTGCACTGGTTAAAGTCCTTGCCAATAACCAGGAGCTCAGGGGTTTAAAACAACCTCTCACTCCTTGGAGGAAACTGAGGCTATGTGTGTTTCTAAAGAGCCCAGCTTCAGAAGCCCTGTGGGCAGCTCTCCTCTCGTCTGGAGGGTCGGGCCAGTGGCCCTGTGACAGTGGCCTTTGTTCTTAGTGCTCAGGCTTGAAGGTGGCTTAGCGATCTTGTTGTTCAAACCCCAATTTGATAAAGCGGGGAGCTGCCACCTCACATGTAGCAAATCTGCTGTCGAGTAGATCTAATGGCCATGCATGTGAGCCGCAGGGAGAGTGGCAAGGGCTTCTGAAATAGATGTTTGTAGACATGATATAAAAAGTGGGAATTGTTTCATTTCCAAGTGAATAATAAAATGTTTAAAGTATTTTCCTTTATTGTAGTTTTAGATGCTTTGGCTTTATTGTTAATTCTAAGAATCTAGAAGTCTAAATTGGTTTCAGGAGCCCTGATGGTGATGTGGTTGAAACACTTTGCTGGTAGCTGAAAGGTCTGTAGTTCGAATCCCCCAGCTTCTGTAAAGGAGAGGGGTGGGCAGTTCTTTTCTATAAAGAGCACCTCTTCAGACCCAGTGGCACCGTTTTCTCTGCCTTCCACGGTCACTGTGATCCAGGTCTGCTGGGTGGTGGTGAGTCTAATCGGAACATGCGGCTTTCTGCCTCTCCACTGCACTGTGACTTTCTCCGTGTGAAATGCAGAGGTCATAGCTATTAAATAATGATCCAAGGAAAGCCCCTCAAAGTTTAGGATTCTGTACTCCAGCATTTCAGTCTCCTTTAGTGACACATGTTGCTTTCACAAGGTATTGTGAATACGTAAATAATTTTACTTCAGAGGAGCAATGTTTTATTTCTGATACAAATTTACATTTTATGACCGATTAGCATCTCATCTTTTTATTGCTTTAACGAATTTAGAAAGAATGTTTGAAAAGACAGACACCATAATCCTTATCTTGACTGGGGCCTCAGGGTAAGGAGCTGTGCTGTAGTCACACAGTTCGAATCCACCAGCTGCTTCACAGGAGAAGGATGTCCATTCTCTTCCTCTGTGATTACCTGCTTCTGGCAACCTGCCAGAAGGTCAGCAATGAGTCCGTGCTCCCTCAACAGCACCTAATTGCGTCAGCATCCCTAAAAAAGCATGGATAAAATCCCGAGTCAGCTAGATAAGAACACAGTTGCTATAGTTGAAAAGTTTGTACATGTAAAAAAGAAAAAGAAAAAACTTTATAGATGTTTGGATTTATAAATAAGGGGAGGTTTCAGAGCTTGACTTGTTACTTGAGCAATTGATGGTAAAACCCACAGTGAGAGTGCTTTCTCTAGACGCTCCCCAGACCTGCCTAGGGACCTGTAGCAAACCTAGGAGACAGGGAAGCTGCCCCATCTTCCTCCCTTGGAGCACAGAGCTTTCTGTCGGCAGCCCCACACTGGGGGTGCTGTGCCGCTGGGGCTCCTGGTTGTACTTCACACCTGCACCTCCTGCTGAGCCTCCACGTCTCTACGGCACCAGGTGGCTCATCTTTCTCTTACGGACCATCTCGTGGATCTGAGCCGTTGACCCTGTGGTTAGCATGGCAGTAACTAACACATGTCTCTTTAAACTCAAATACCTCAAATATGTTGGTATATTAGCACTAGACAACCATGAATCACTTAACTTTAGAGAAACAGTAGTTGGTTTTGGATTGTTAATTTGTGAAAGTGTGAGACTCCAGACAGGTTGAGTGTAAGGCCTCTAGAATTACGTTTCATGATGACTTCCAAGTACTTGTTGAAACCAAGTATTTGTATTAGATTAGCATATGTTAACGCTGGGATTTCCAGGTCCTGGCCACTATTCCGGCTCTCCTGACCATCGTTTTACTGGTATCGTGCTTGCTTTTGCCTCCTGACCTCGGCAGAATGCGTGACCGTGTATTGCTCTCTCTCTGCTCCTTGCACCTCAGGTCACGTATGAAGCACACAAGGAGTACCTGGCCAAGATGTACGAAGAGTACCAGCGTCAGGAGGAGGAGAACATCAAGAAGGGCAAGAAGGGCAGCGTGAGCACCATCTCGGGCCTCTCCTCGCAGACCGCCGGGGCCAAGGGCGGCCTGGAGATGCGTGAGATCGAGGACCTGGCTCAGAGCCACAGTCCAGAGAGCGAAACGGACTACCCCGTGGGCACAGACACCCGGGACCTGCTCATGTCCACCAAGGTGCCGGAGGACATCCTGGGACATTCGGACAGGCCGGGGAGTGGTGTCCACGTGGAGGTGCATGACCTGCTGGTCGATATCAAAGCGGAGAAGGTGGAAGCAACTGAAGTCAAGTTGGACGACATGGATTTGTCTCCAGAGACGCTGGCGGGAGGTGAGAACAGTGCCCTGGTGGAGGTAGGGTCCCTGCTGGACAACGTGTACAGCGCCGCTGTGGAGAAGCTGCAGAGCAACGTGCACGGCCGTGTGGGCCTGATCCGGAAGAGGGAGGACGAGGACAACGGCCCGCTGATCACGCTGGCGGACGAGAAGGACGAGCCGCCTGGCAGCAGTGCCGCGTTCCTCTTTGAGAAGCTCCCCAAGCCGGAGGAGAAGCTGCTGCCCGCACTGTCCAGCGCGCACATCATTCCTCACATCCAGGACACGCAGGCGCCCCTGGGTGTGGGCGACGAGCTCGGGCTCCTGGCTCACATGACCGCCAGCATCATAGAGGACAAGGAGTTCAAAATCCACACAGCGTCCGATGGGATCGCGGGGGTTTCCGAGAGGGACCTGCCGGCCCCCGCCAAGGCCTTAGAGTATGCCGAGATGACGGCCACTACTCTGGCCACGGAGTCTTCAGGCGGCAAGGTGGTCCCGAACATTGACGGCAGCAGTATTGTCTCTGACACGGAGAGGTCGGACGACGGCAAGGAGCCAGGGAAGGAGGTCCGCAAGATCCAGACCACCACGACCACCCAGGTGAGTCGTCACGCACAGCCGGGGCCTGGCCAGTTCTGACCCAGTGGGGCTGTGGGACCTGGGATGGGGAGTGGACAGCTGTCACATCCCAAGTCCCCACATCTGCCCTCCACGGGACAGGCTGTCACCAGCAGGTCTGTGCCATCTGCAGAGGCTCAGCCAGACCCTTTGCGGTTAACTGTAGGGAGGTGTGTGGTGTGTAGAACAGAGTAGGACAGTGACTTTCCAGTTGTGGGCTGTGCCCTCTTGCTCAGCACTGGGATCCTCTGGCCTGGGCTTCCTGTAGAGTCCAGGCGGGGTGTGAGGTCCATGTGGACCATGTGGTCAGCCTCAGCCCAGCTGGCATTACCACACTCTGCCTCCCGCTCTGCGCTCCCCATGCAGCCTCAGGCCCCTCTGTCCTGCACTGTAGAAACAGCCTCAATTGCCTGGGTGGTGCAGACAGTGCAGGGGAAAGGGCCTTGTGACAGATGCTTATGCACTTGACGCCTAAGGTCTGTGGTTCAAGCCCAACAGCTGCTCTGCAGAAGAAAGCGGTGATGTGCCAGTCTACTCCCATCATGACTTCAGCCTGGGAGACGTTCTGTGGGCCTGCAGGTTGGCCCGGTCAGGATCACCCTGATCTGGGTGCGGGCTCTGCGCTGTGCCCACAGGCAGGCAGGTGGGGCTGTGGCGAGAACCTACACAGGTCCTAGTGTGGATGGGAGGTGCGCAGATGGCATTCCCGACCCTTGGGCCTGGAGGTGACAAGTGTGACTTCTTAGTTGATGGCGCCACATTGGACCAGGGGTGCCTGTGGCCAGGCCTGTGACTGTGGGGTCAGTTCCCGGTGCACTCCCTTGTCTCCAGGCTGAGCAGTAGTTGATGGTTCTGTGCTTTGAAAAGGAAGGAGCCATTTGCGCCCTCCCACCTCGATGATTTTATCTTTGTCTCGGGGTGTTTTCACTCAGGTGCTTCACTGTTAAAGATAAATGTCAGTTTGCCGTCCATTTTGAAGAGTTAACTGTACTTGCTTGTTGTAGATGTTTTTTGTGGAGAAGACCTATCTGTGTGTCCTGGTTTCTGGTGCTGATGTCACAGGGACAGTTGACGAGCTGGGGAAGTGCACTCACTGGTCAGGCGGCCTTGGCCTTGTTGGTTCTGATGCGTTCGTGCTCTGCTGGTCGGTGTCTGTGGTGTTGCCATGACTCTGTCACATCCTGTCCTGTGCAGGTGCTGGGGCTGGGAGTCCACACTTGGATCTGTGCCCCGCAGGCCCCCAGCATCTGTCTGCAGCAGCACAAGCTCACCCCCTGCCTCTGTGCCATGTTTTGTATTTCTTGTAGCCCTGCTGGCTTTCACTCAGTGCTGTGGCAGCTTCCTGGGAGCATCTATGCGAGCTAGCCTTCGTGTGCACTCATGAAATAACACAATGCTATGCTTGCTTCATGGTGACACTGCACTCTCAACAGCGTCTGTGCCAGAGTGACCATGTGCTCTGGCCTAAGACCTCATGAGCAGGGCAGAGAAGATCTTAGATCATGGACAGTTGTGTCGTGGTGGCCCCGCTGGGTCCCTCTGCCACAGTTTGGGGACTGGGGACAGAAGTAGTGGTTTCTGTGCAGAAGGTTCCCGCACAGCGGTCCAGAGTCCCGACCAGTGGCCCAAGTGCATCCCGGAACCTCTGGGTGCCATGCACGCAAGCCGGCCTGTACTCGGGGTCTCACTGGGATTCTTGGTCTTTATTCCTCACCCTGATCCTTCCTCAGGCTGTTCAGGGCCGGTCCATCACACAGCAGGACCGCGATCTGCGCGTGGATCTGGGCTTCCGAGGGATGCCCATGACAGAGGAGCAGCGGCGCCAGTTCAGCCCTGGGCCGCGCACCACCATGTTCCGGATCCCTGAGTTCAAGTGGTCACCCATGCACCAGCGGCTGCTCACGGACCTGCTGTTCGCACTGGAGACAGACGTGCATGTGTGGAGGAGGTAGGAGGGCTGGGCCCACGGTGGGAAGGAGCTCGTAACAAGTGGCATTCTGCCTCCACGAGCAGGCCTCAGCACTGAGGAGCGCGTGAGCTCAGGTTCTCCCTGGTGAGCCCAGACACCCACCTGAGGACTGTGGGATTCCAGATGCTGGAGGAGAGGCTGCAAGGCTGACGGCCTCCGTGGGCAGTATCTGTGTGCGTCTACACAGCCGGACACACTGTTGTACACACATCCTCACTGGTAGACACACACACACACACACACACACACACGGTTGTGCACACTTCCTTACTCATATCCCTGCTGACACACACACACTCCTGACATACAGCATGCCCTGTGCATGTGTACACACACTGCTGTGCACACGTCTTCACTCATATCCTGCTCTCTCTCTCTCACACACACACACACACACACACGCTCCTGACATACAGTACGCCCTGTGCACAGAGTATTGTACACACATCCTCACTTGTATCCTGCTCCCTCTCTCACACACACACACACACACACACACGCCCCTGACATACAGCACGCCCTGTGCTTGCGCGCACACATGCACTGTTGCACACATATCCTCACGCATATCCTGCTGCCACACACATGAACTCACTCGCATACACCCCAACATACAGCACGCCCCATGCACACACATCCTCACATATATCCTGCTCTCTGTCTCTCTCTCTCTCACACACACACACACACACACACACGCACACACCCTGATGACATACAGCACCCCCTGTGCATGCAAACAGACACTGCTGCAGCTCCAAGCACTTCCACTGCAGGGACCCGCCCCAGCACAGGAGCTCTGCCCCTCCTTCCTCATATCCTGCCCTCCCAGTGTGTTCTTTTGTCTCTAGAAGATGCCTCTGAGGACATAGACCCCCACGGCTTGCTCATGGGTCAACAGAGTCACAGGATATGAGGTGACAGCTGTCCAAGGGTTAGAAGTCAGACAGTCTGTTCCCCACTTTACATGCCGGAGAAGCTCCTGAATGCCTGTGTTTGTCAAGCAGGAAACAATTAGTGACTTGAGTTATTGCATTTACTAGCCCACTTGCCACACACATAACAAACAAGCAAAAATTTGCTGTGAGAAACTTGGGAAAACCAAAAATTTTCTTACAAACCTGACGCCATGGTAGGATATCTCAATTCTATTTTCTATTAGTTATGTTTCTTTTTTACAGTAAATAGTTTTTTTCGTAGTAATTGAAATATCATTTTTCAAGTAACTGAGTTTTAAATTTGCCTAACTCTTCACAGTATTCTCTTTATTGCCATAAAAGTGTTACTGTGAGTAAAACATTTCAGTGCATGCTCAAGCCAAGGAGATGTTCACTGTGTTGTGTTTGCCTGTCCTTTTAGCCATTCCACGAAGTCAGTAATGGACTTTGTCAACAGCAACGAGAACATTATTTTTGTGCACAACACAATTCACCTCATTTCCCAGATGGTGGACAACATCATCATAGCCTGTGGAGGGATTCTGCCTCTGCTGTCAGCCGCCACCTCGCCCACGGTGAGTGCTCTGCCTCCCCCTCGTGGCCGTCGTGTGCATTACATGGCTGTGTGTCCTGCTGGCTGTGGACTCATGTGCCTTTCTAGTCCCACACCTTCTGCGTGTTGCACTCCAATAAGGGTGTATGGAGAGAGTTTCATAAATTCAAGCTGGATTCAGAAGCCGGAAGAGCCCTGGCTATGGGTTGTTTTACTGTCCCCTCCCTCTTCCTACTTCTCCCCCCATTCTATTTCTTTGCCTCTATAATCTAAGGTATTGAAGACATTTGTGGGAGATTGTAGAATTGTGAATAGAAAAACGTGGTTATTGTGCAGTGATCCAAGTCAGGACTCTTAAGCTTTGAAGAAGGTGCATTCTTCTCCTGAGCTGTTCTGGGGCCTCAGGGACACTGCCCGCCCCGGCATTGCTGCAGCCACTGCCTCTGGCCACCTGGAGTTTCTTCCTCTTGTCTGTGACCCCTGCCAGGAATCAGGGACCAGCCTCTGTAACTTGACCACAGAGGATGACACAAACTCTCGCTGTCACATGTCCTCTCTGGCTGCTTGTGTTCCAGGGTGCATATTCCATGTGGCTCCAGAACGTCACAGTTCAAAGACATCAGTAATTCTCCAGCATTCACAGGCACATGAGACACTGGAAAACACCACCTCCTAACATAGCAGTGTCAAAATTGATATCACTTAGACGATCTACACTGAAAGGGCATGGAGGTAGGACACATCCCAGTTTTGAACCTTGCAGTGTCTCCTTGCTCTGTTCTGACGACTGCCTCTTGGTCCAAGTTTAGGTTTCACATTAGCACAATCAAGTGTTCTGGGATTCCCATTCTTCTCAGAGTCAGCCACAGGTTTGTTGTGATGCACACAATGAAATATCTTTGCATAATCAATGAAACACAGATAGACATTCCTCTGGTACTCTCTGCTTTTTACCAAGATCCATCTAACATTAGCTATATTATCTCCAGTACCAAGTCCTCTTCTAAACCTAGCCTGTACATCTGGCAGTTCTCTGTCGATGTCCTCTTCTAGTCATTTTTGGATAATCTTCAGCAGAATCTTGCTTTCATGTGATATTAATGATATTGTTCAATAATTTCCACACTCTGTTGGATCACTTTTCTTTGGAATGGGAGCAGATATGGATCTCTTCAGTCAGTTGGCCAGGTGATTAGATTTCTTGGCATATCTTGGTAAGCACTTCTAGAGCAGCATATGTTTGTTGAAATATATTAATTGGTATACTGTCAACTCCTGGGGCCTTGTTTTCTGCCATTTCCTTCAGAGCAGCTTAAACTTTTCCCTTCATCACCACAGACTCTTGCTCATATGTTTTTTCATGAAATTCTTCCGTGTCTATCAATTCTTTTTGGTACAGTGACTGTATACTCCTTTCATCTTCTTGTAATGCTTCCTGGGTCATTCAGTATTCTGCCCAAAGCATCCCTAAGTATTGCAACTTGAGGTTTGAATTTGTTCTTCAGTTCCTTCAGCTTAAGAAATGCTGAGTGAGAACAGCCGTTTTGATTTTCAGTCTCCAGCTCTTTGCACATTTTATTATAATTCATTATTTTGTCTTCCACGCTGCCCTTTGTAACCTTCTATTCAGCTCTTTAATATCTTGGTTTTTTGCCCTTTGCTTTGGCTTCTTGATGCTCTAGTGCAGTATTCAGAGTCTCTTCTGACATTCATTTTGGTCTTTTCTTCCTTCTCTGTGTTTGTAAAGACCTTCAATGAGATGGATTGACTTAGTGACTGACTGGGGTCATAGGGGTAGATTTGTCGGAGACAGTGCGATTGGCACAGGACAGAGCAGGATTTAGGGCTGTTGTACACAGGGTTGCTATGAGCCACAGATGACTTGACGACACAGAACAACAGCAATCTTGATAAAAGTTAACAAAAACAACTGGGAGAGCACATCAGCAGAGAACTTCCAGATGTGCAGGATAGGTTTAGAAGAAGCCATGGCAGTAGGGGGACATTTTAGCCAATGTTAGATGGATCTTGACTGAAAGCAGAGAGTGTCAGAGGAACGTCTATCTGTGTTTCGTTGATTATGCAAAGGTATTTTACTGTGTGGATCGCCACAAACCTTGGCAAACTCTGAGAAAAATGGGAATCCCAGAACACTTGATTGCTTAAATGAAAACTATACTTGGACCAGGAGGCAGTCATCAGAACACAACAGGAAAACACTGCATGGTTCAAAATCAGTAAAGGTGTGTGTCAGGGATGCATTCTGTCTCCATACCATTTCAGTCTATGTGTGGAACAGATCATCCAGGAGACTTGGCTCTATGAGGATGAATTTAGCATCAATATTGGAGGAAGACTCATCAACAACTTGCATTATGCAGATGACACAACCTTTCTTGCTGAAACTGAGGAGAACTTGATGCATTTGCTGCATAAGGTCAAGGACTGCAGCCTTAAATGTGGATTTAAGGTCAACATCAAGAAAACAAGTATTCTCACCACTAGGCCAATTGGCAGCATTATAATAGACGGTGAAGAGATTGAGATTGTTAACAGCTTCAGCTTGCTTCACTCTAGTCAACACTCTTGGTACCAGCAACCATGAAATCAAAAGATGCATTGTATTGAGAAAGCCTGCTGCCAGGGATCTTTCCAGCGTACTGAAAAGCAACAGTGTCAGTCTGGAGACTAAGGTGCACCTGATCCAGGCCATGGTCGTCACAATTACTTGCTATGTATCAGAAAGATGGACAGTGGCTAGCGATGATAGGAGAATTGATTCCTTTGAGTTGTGATGTTGGAGAGGAGTGTTGAATATACCGTGGACTACTAGGAGAACAAACAGATCTGGAGAGGGTGAAACCAGGCTGCTCCTTGGAGGCAAGGATTTTGAAACTCACTCTGACATAGTTTGGGCATGTAGCCAGGAGGGACCAGCCCTTGGAGAGAGACATCATGCTTGGGAGGGTTGAGGGACAGTGCAAGAGAGGAAGACCCTCAATGAGATGGATTGACTCAGTGACTAGGTAATGGGGGTAGGTTTGTTGGAGACAATGAGGTTGGCTCAAGATAGAGCTGCGTTCAGAGCTATTGTACATATGATTGCTATGAGCCACATAAAAACAACAACAATAAAAGTATGCTGAAGATACTGAGATTTTGTGGAGCTACTTTTCTTTATTATTGTTGTTGTTATTATTATTATTCATTAACAACTAGGAACCCTAGACACTTCGACTTGAATTCTCAGCTGCTCCCCAGAAGCTTGGCAGTGTGAAGCCAACCACCACTGTGTAGGAGAAAGACGACGTGCTCAGCGTTAACAAACCTGACAGCGTGGGCACCTGTGGGAATCCCCCTGCTTCTGTCTGTCGCACGCAGCTCAGCCCCAGTGGTTCTTTCCTCAGCAGGCCTGAGACATTCTTGCAGCTGTAGGAGTTTGGCCTCATTGTCTGTCTCACTGTGGTTCTGTTCTTTTGGGCCATTCACTGACGGTAGTTACCTGGTTCTCCAGCAGAGCTGATTCCATTTTCTGTCTAAGAAGCTGCCCAGTCCTCTCCCACTTCCTGTACGGTAGAAAGTGTCCTGTGCTGATTGATCGCAGTGATAGTTACTGGTTTTTACCGTGTCCTTGATAAAGTGGAGTAGAGGGAAATGGAACAGAGAAGCCATAGCTGAGGATGGGGGACTTTGTGTCCTTGGATTAAAGAGTGGAAAGGCCAGAGAGAGTTTTGGAAAGATCAGGAAAGGAAATTCCAGCATGGTGGTGATGAATAAGAACAAGATTGTCTTGTCAGTGAACAGAATGTCAGTCTTGGATGTGAGCCGGGAGACGGCTCTGTTAGTGACCTGGATATACTTGTTCACGTTTGTGATAGTTTAAAAATGTTCCTATTTTATATCAAGATATGCATTTTATGAATAGATCTGAGTAGTGATGCTTTATGGAAAGAGTAGGCAGTCATTTTCTGCAGGAACTAGCTGGCCTTGGGGTCCTTCTGGTGCAGTCTGCTCAGGTGAGCACTTTCCTTTTATGTTCTAGGCGCAACCACAGACAAAACCTTGAGAAGTAGGCGCACTTGGAGAAGTGGGCCTGGGATGGACCAGTAACACTTGGTCTGAGATCTGGCTCGTGGACCACGTCACATCCCTGGGCAGCGGTCTGCGCACACTGGGCTAGGGCGTGATTTACACACACAGTGGACGTCATCATGAGCTGTAGCTTGACAATTGTATTACTTGCTACCAGGTGCTGACAACTCACCCGATAGAGTTGGAGACAAATGAAAATTTTCCTATGTAAACAAAAACTTGACTTTGACTCAACAGTTTATCAGAGCTTAATTCTTTAAGCAAGTTCACTATTTATCAAGACTATTTTTCTCTACTGGAAGATTTTTTTACACTTACACATGCTTAATTTTGTTTTCTCGTATTTTGTCAGTTCACATCTCTAATGTTAAGACTCTTTTTACTTTCAGAAGAGAAGGGGAATTCTGAGGGTCCCTAATAGGTAACCCACTTCCCTAGTAATGGCTCCAGGCTCAGCTCAGGAGCTCACCCTCTCCTTAGGTCACAGTGCGCGTGGCTGTCCCTTTCATCGAGAACAGACTTAATTCAGCCTGTCCTCACATCCCTAAGACACAGGCATGACCTCCTCTGAGGTGTTTGAATACTTCACATGCCATCCCTGCCCTCATTACCGCGGAGGTGGTTCCAGCTCATCGACCTGGAGGGCAGAGTGTGGTTGCCCAGAAGGCTGTTCAGCTTGTTGTCTGACTGCAGTGGGGTGGTTTGTGGATTCAGATCACCAGGTGGAAACTCGGCACTTAACACACGGTGCCCCCATAACCTTACATCGACACTGTCATCTGAGCTCGCCCACATCCTAGATAGGACCTCAACTTCTGTTTCTTTACTTATGAAAAGGCATTAGTTATACTGTGGGTTGTTGTTTTTTTAAAAAAAAAAAATACAGTGAGATAATCTATTTAAAGTGCACCAGATACGGAAAGTTTCTAATGTTTCTCTTTTTAAAGAAAATAAACCAACGTTGTCATTGAGTTTTATGATGATATGATCGTCTTCCCGTTTATAAAATAAGCTTGTTAGAAATTTGAAGATTAAAGTGATGTGTTTGGAAAGAAATTTAGCGAATACATATGATTCATTTAAAAATGAAGAGAGAGGCATTTGGATCAAGTGTACACTCAGTACCCAAAAGAGGCATGAGTGGGAAGAACCATCGGAGTACATGGAGGCAATAAAGGATTTATTAATTAGAAATGTTACAGTTTTATTACCATTTCCTAAGAGGTTAATATGGTGAAACTTCATTCCACATTTTTTGGATGCCAAAAGTCAGAAGTGGTCTAGTCTTGTCTGCTCGTTGTGTGTGACTGCTGGAGTGTTCTCTGAATTCTGGCCAGACCTTCAAGGGACACAGGAATGGGAACTAGTGGTAGACGGATGCAGGGAGCTGAGCTCTCGGTAGGTGCCCTCGAGTTGGGATGCTCACATAGCTGCTCCTGCCGTGAGTTTTCAGAAGCGGTGAACTGCACAGGGGAAACTGCTTGCTTGCTCCACGAAGCAGTGGGGGAATTTGAACCACTTGGCTTTGGCTTGGCATTACAGTTCCTTCCTTTCCACTGAACCCCCAGAGCTCCCTAATCTAAACTAGGGATACATGAATACAGTAATCCCAGTAATCTGTATTGGGGTAATTTGTGTGGCCACTGCAGAGTCGTTAACGTGGAATGGAATGTCAGCCATTGTTGACGGCTGACCAGGCAGCCCTCTTATCTTACTTTTAAAGAAATGTTTTAATGGAATTTTATGGGGGAAGAGAGTCTTGCTTGACAAAGTTTTCGTTCATACTGAACCTCTTTAGCATAATTGTCATTGAAGAATCAGCATTTCATTTGAAATTTTGAGTTTGTGGGATTAGTGTCAATCATATATGGCATAGAAGAGAAAATGAGACGGGCCCTCAAGTCTTAATTATACTAGTAGTTTTAAGTTCAACACTCAGGGGAAGGCAGAGTTCTGAGGAAGCATTTTAGCTAATCTTTGGTTTGGGGAAGGAGCATCTTTTTTCTTTTGTCAGGCGTTTTCTGAGTGCATGTTTTCTTGACCACACGATTGGAGTGGGTCATGGATGAAATCAAAGGTTTGGAGAGGGAAAATGACAGATGTAGAGCCACCACAGATTGCTGGTCACACTGAGGGCTTAGCGGTACGGGTTGTGCTGCCAACCCCAGGCAGGAGTATTCATGTCCGCGGCCAGCCCGCAGAAGAAAGATGGACACTCTCCTCCTGTGTGATCTACAGCCTTTGAAAGCCCACTGGCGGGTCAGCTAGGAGTAGAATCGTACTCAGAAGTACAACACCAGCCCCACATTTTTGTAAGCTGTCCCATGTCCCAGCCCACAGCCTACTCCAAGCTTAATAGCATCAGAAAGGAGAGCAGTTTTTACTCTTTCTGCCCCCAGATGATAAGTTTTCATTTTAGTTCGTTTTTATTTCCTTATAATGGTCTCATATGTGATTCATCCATTTTGAGAAAATGATTATGTTTTTGCTGTTATCACTGGTCACTTCACAGCATTTCACGGCACTGATTCATGAGGGACCACCAAAAACATTTCTACACTGGTATTCATACCTCTTTGGGTTTAAACTGTTGTTTTTAAGATTCTGAACCTTAGTACATGATTCATGTAATTATCTCAGTTCATATGCAAGCCCCATTCAATCCCAGTAAGTTCTTTTCTGACCGAGGAAAGTCAGTGTCCAGACTGGGTCACTCAACTTTTTCACTTTTGTATCAACTTTGGAGAAGTTTCTGTAACCCCCAAGGGCAGCATGTGCTTTAGGAGACACAGTGACATGTCTCCTTGCTGCTGAGTGCACAAGGTTGGTGTAAAGCACTCGCTTCCCTGCGTCATTTCTGTCCACACCAAGACTGAGCTGAGCTTCTTACAGAGACATCTGCTAGTTTATGTATCAAAATCTGTCATTCGTAATGTGCTAGGCAAAAACAGCGATTCTGGAAAACACAGGGCATAATTCCGGCCACGTGGGGCATACTGGTGTTTGTATTATTTGAGAAGAGTTACTGTCATGAATAATAAAAATAAGAGTCTAAATATTTCGTGATAAATATTAAAATGCCATTTTATAAAATTAGTATATCTTCTGAGTATTGATTCTTGCATTTAATAAATATAATTTCTAAATATTTTGTGTTTCAATTTTGCACTGTATGTTCATTTAATTTTAATATTTTCTTTTTCTTGTACTTTTTTTGACCTGTTGTCTGATTTGTTTAATGCATGCCCAGGGTTCAAAGGTTAGTATTGTTACTTTTGCTGTAATTTTCCATTTTAAAATTTCATTTTTGGTTATTTATGAAATTTTTGACTTGCTTATATTTTAAGTTTCCATATCATCTTTAACAGTAGGCATATCATTGATATATAAAGATTTATTTAAAAATCTTTTCTATTTACCAGCACTTCACTGTTTTGTCTGGTTTTAAGAATCTGAAGTGCTGTCATGTAACTAAAGAGGTAATGAATGATACCAGGTCCACTGAAAAATAACTGGATGGAATATATGTTCAGCTTGAATAATGGTTTCCTGTGAGACACCTGTGAGTGTAAATGTATGCTGTGATGTTTACTTGGTAGTTTCTCATTGAATCCTCACTGTGATGTGGAACACAGTGAGACTCGCTTTTGGATTATTGAGACAAGTGATACTATCTGAAAAATGTTTTAGTAAAAATGAGCAGTAAGTTACATGGACCGTCTCCTAATACTATTTAGAGTGAATTAATTCTAAAAGCAAATTCTGAACTGGGGGTGTGGGTGGGGTGGGCGGGGAGAAAAGTGCAACAGTGAATGAATGGAAGTCCAAAATCTCTGTAAATGTTCATTGAAATTAATAAAAAAAAATTAAAGCAAATTCTAAGGGTTAGTCTTTTTAGACGACCAACCAATTGGGGAACAGAAACCATTAAGCCTTTAGTCGCAAGCTGTCGTGCTTATTGCTCATAAACAGGGAGTGCTCAAGAAGTTTGGTTTTGTTTTCTTCTCTCCATTCTCCCAGCCACTGCTCCCCATGACATTGTCATCCTGACGAGAAGGGAAATGCTGAGGCGCAGTGAGGTTTAAACTTGTCCCGAGGGAGCTCTGGGTTGGACAGCTGCCTGCACTCACCCCGCTGGTGATGAGGCTAGGCTGACCCTGCAGCTCCCCCTGTGCCCCCTCCAAAAGCAGAAAGGAATGTGGGTTTTGCTTGTTTACAAACCTGCAGCATTTCTCCATTACTGGAGGTATTGAACAAATGAGGCCTCGTTATAATGAGCCAAAAAAAACTAGAATATAATCAAGTGTACAATGTAACACAAAATAAGAAGTGATGCCACTGCTTATAAAACTGCATATTTACACATTTTGAGAAACAACGTGTGTTGTAATATTGTCTCTGTAGGCAGCAAATTATGTTTGATTCTAGATTATATCTTGATAGAAATGGAGCCCCAGACAAGAATGCTGTTTCTCTTATTGCTCTTGTGTTACAGATAGGTCACAGGTTGCTTATCTGTTGCAAAGTTAATGACAGTGGTTATTTTATCCTAGTTTTATTGTATTTCTAGTTAACTAGAGATTTCACTTTGTTCTGAAATGGAGAGGATTTTGTCATGAATTCAAATTTGAAAGTGCATCCCATTTTAATGCCAAATAAAATACCATCTTTCTGTTCTATTATTCATCATATGTTTATAGAAAAGTGAAATGATTAAGGTAATTTTTACAAATCAGAGAGGATGTTAAGCTAGGAGGAGTCCATTTATAGCTTTGTAAAGGAATAAGAATAAAAAATAAAAGTATGTGTCAATTTTTTTCTTAATTTGTTTAAAATATTATTTTTATGACTACTAATAGTTCAATCTAATATTGATTTAAAAACTGGGTTTTTCCTTTAATCATATATACTTAACAACTGAAATAGTTAAATCCTTTTAAAAGCCTTTATATGGAATTAGTTTACCATTCCTTTTTTTATAAAAAATACTTTTATGTGCTCAACTGAGTTATTTAAGCCATTGCTATGTACATATATTTCCAAATTTAAAGAAGACTAAACCTTTTACTTTTTTCTCTCAAGACTGAACTGGAAAACATTGAAGTGACCCAGGGCATGTCAGCAGAGACAGCTGTGACTTTTCTCAGCCGCCTGATGGCCATGGTCGATGTACTTGTGTTTGCCAGCTCCCTGAACTTCAGTGAGATTGAAGCAGAAAAGAACATGTCCTCTGGAGGTTTAATGCGACAGTGTCTGAGGCTGGGTGAGTTTCTTTGGAATAAAGCCTGTGCACCTAAAAGAATTGTTTAGAAAGAATAGCTGTTAGGTGTCCCGAGGTGGGCAAGCATGTTGGTGGTTCTGGAGTAGTGTCACCTTGTAACTCTGGAGAATTGCTAAAATTTTATTTTATGTTTTGCCATTGTTATCAGTTGGAACCTACTCATAACTGACCCTTCATCAGGTTTGCAAGACTGCAAATCCTAAGGGAGGAGCTTGCCTGTCTTTCTCCTTTGGAGCCCTTGATGGATTCAAAACCCCAGGGAAGCACGTCTTTCACGGTAGCAGTGCAGCTCCCGACGGACTAGACCAAGGAGGTTTCAGGTGGAGCTAGGTCAGACACTGCTCACAGCAACTCTGTGAGTGACGGATCCCAGCCTTGCCTACTCCTGCGCCAACCTCACTGTGTCTGACGTGCCTGAGACCATTGGTACAGTTGCAATGTCAATCCATGATGTTGAGGGTCTTCTCTTTCTCTGACCGTCTGGTTAGAAGCCCTGAGCAGCATAGTGCGTAACTCATGGAGCTAATACTGGAAGGTCCATAGTTGGAATACAAAGGGAAAAAGGGGGCAGTCTCTTTCTATCAAGATATATTGTTACCTTTGAGTTGGAACCAACCCAGAGCTGACCTCCAGCAGATTATCACAGGCGGTAAATCCATGGGAGGAGACTGCCGATCCTTCTCCCTTAGAGAACTTGGTGGATTTGAACCGCATGCCTCTGAGTTGGCAACAGGATTCTTTACCACTAAGCCATGCACAGGGTCATAAAACCAAGGAAGGGCCACCTTGAGTTAGAGATCGATGCATGTTTTCACACTGGATATTTTCAAGTATTTAATAATCTTTACTGGATTTTAATTGAAAATAGAATCAAATGCATTTTCCACCTAGTTTGTTTGTTGTTTTTTGGTTTTTTTTATACTGGTTTATTTACAAAGTTCTAATACATTGTTTTTCACAACAGATCTTTTCCATTTCCTTCACCACTTCCCCCATCAAATTGTGTGAGCATGTGATTAACCAGCCCACCCCACCCTGGGCTCATCCGCAAACCTCTGTCCCCACCCACCCCTCCTTGGATCCTCATACTTACTCTGAAATAATGGTCATATACAGTATTTGATGGCACTGCAGTAGTTCACTTAGCATAATGCTCTCTAGTCCCTCCCAGGTTAGGTTGTAATTTACAAAATCATTGCTCCTGTGTGCTGCATAGTGTTCCATTGTGGGAATGTTCCATAATTTCTCAATCCATTCAATTGTGGTTGGATATCTCGGCTGTTTACATCTTCTTGTGATGGTGAATAATGCTGCTATGAACATTGGTGCACAGGTCTCTGTTTGAGCCTCACTTCTCATTGTCTCAGGCTATGTTCCAAGTAGTGGAATACCTGGGTCATACGGAATTTCAGTATTCAGCTTTTTAAGAAAGTGCCAAACTGTATTCCAGAGTGGTTGTACCATTTCAAAGTCGTACCAGCCATGTACAAGAGTTCCTATCTCTCCACATCCTCTCCCACATTTATTACTTCCTGTCCTGTTAAACTTTGCCACTGCTACTGGAGTGAGATGGTATCTCATTGTGGTTTTTATTTGCATCTCTCTTATTGTCAGTGATTTTTGCTTTTTTATTTAATGCTGATTTACATAATAAATTCATAAAATTCGTATATATATATGTGTGTTATTTTTCACACCAGATCTTCTTTCTCCTTTTGTTTACTCATCCCTCCCTCTACCCATCCAATTCCGTGACCCTGTGATTAAGCTCTCCCCTCCCCCACCATTGGATCCTCATACTCCTTCCACACTGATGGCATTATGCAGTACTTGTCCTTATGAGACTGAGTTAGTTCACTCAGCATAATGCTCTCTAGTCCCTCCCTTGTTAGGTAATAGTTTACAAAATAATTGCTCCTGTGTGCTGCATAGTATTCCATTACGTGAATGTACGATAATTGCTTAGTCCATTCCATGTGGTTGGGCATTTGAGCTGTTTCCATGTTCTTGCTATGGTGAATGATGCTACTTGAACATTAGTGTACAAGTCTCTGTTTGTGTCTCAGTTCTCATTTTCTTGGTGTATATTCCAAGCGCTGGAATAGCTGGGTCATATGAAATTTATATGTTCAGCTTTTTGAAGAAACGCCAAACTGCCCTCCAGAGTGGTTATACCATTTTAAAATCCCACCAACAATATGTAAGAGTTCCTATCTCGCTACATCCTCTTCAACATTTCTTACTTGCTACCCTGCAAAACTTTGCCACTACTACTTTCATTGTGGTTTTGATTTGCATCTCTCTAATTGACAGTGATTTAGAACATGCCTTCATGTGTCTGTGGCCCATTCGAATGTCTCCTTCTGTAAAAAGTCTTTCCATGTCTTTTGCCTTTTTCCTTATTTGGGTTATTAGTCTTTTTCTTGTGGAGGTCCTGTAGGATTTTGTACATTTTCGTGATGAGATCCTTGTCTAAGATGGTATTGCCAAATGTTTGTTCCCAGTCAGAAGGTTTTCTTTTTACCCTATTCAAAAAAAGGTTTTGATGCAGACAGGGATTTAATCTTTAGAAGGTTCCATGCATCAGTTTTAGCCTCTTCAGATTGAGCATCGCTGGCTGTATTTGACAGTCCTTTTAGACCATAGACTGGGCCTTCTGAGCTTGGTCCCAGTTTGTCTCTTATGAACTTATGATTTGGGGATTTATTTTGAGGTCTCTATTCTACCTTGAGTTGATTTTTGTGTGTGGTGTGAGATGTCGATACCGGTTCACTTTCTGCAGGTAGTCGTCGAATTTTGCCAGCACCATATGTGTCTGTTGGCCATCCAAAAATCTTCCTCTGTAAAAATTATTTCCATGTCTTTCCCCATTTTGTAATTGTGTTATCAGTCTATTTCTTGTGGAAGCCCTGTAGGTTTCTGTAAATTTTTGGTCTTCTCTAGATTGCACATTGCTGACTGTATTTGGCAGTCTGTACCATAGACTAGGTGTTCTTAGCTTCATCCCAGTTTCTCTCTGATTAACCTTATAGTTTTGGGCTTTACTTCCAGGTATCTGATCCAGCTTAAGATGATTTTTGTGTATGGTGTGAGTTGTAGATCCTGTTTGAGCTTTCTGCAGGTTCCAGTGCCGTTGTCCCAGCACCATTTGTTTAAAAGGTTGTTAATTCCCCATTTAATAGGTTTTATTTCCTTCTCGAATGATTGACTGTAGATAGCTGGGTCCATTTCTGGATTCTCAGTTCTGTTCCATTGATCTTTGTGCCTGTCAGTGTCCCAGTAACATGCTGTTTTGGTAATGACCCCGTGTAGTAGGTTTTGAGGTCAGGGAGTGCTGTGTCTCCCACTTAATTTTTGTTTCTGAGAAGTACTTTGCCTATTCAGGATCTCCTAACTCTTTAAATAACATTGACAGTTTTCCTTTTGATCTCTTTGGGAAGTGAATTTGATATCTGTATTGGGATTGCATTGAACATGTAGATTGCTTTTGGTAGGATTATCTTTTTCAGGATATTGATTCTTCCTATCCATGAACAGGGCACATTTCCCATTTCTTTAGGTCTTTTGTTTTGTCTTGCAGAAATGTTCTGTAGTTTTCTTTGTATAAGTGTTCTGTATCTCTAGTTAGGTTCACTCCGAAGTATCTGAATTTGTGGTTGGTTATTATAAATAGTATTGCTTTATTGGTTTCCTTCTGAGTTCTCTTTGCTCCTGTAGAGGAATCCCACTGATTTTTGGATATTGATCTTATATCCTGCCACTTTACTAAAAATTGGCCTACTAGATCTAACAAGTTTGTTGTTGAGTCCTTGGGGTTTTCTGTGTACACTATCATATCATCTGTGTATACCAATAGTTTAACCATCTCTTTGCCAATTTTGATGCCTTTTATTTCCTTCTTTTGTCATATTGTCCTAGCAAGCACTTCCAATGTAATATTGAAAAATTGGTGACAGTGGGAATCCCTTTTCACAAGAAAAATGCTTTTAGTCTTTCTTCATTGAGAATGATACTGGCTCTTGGTTTTGCATATATATTTTTCACTATGTTGAGGAAATTCACTTCTATTCCAATTTTGCTGAGGGTCTTTATCAGGAAGGGTGTTGGAATTTGTCTAATGCCTTTTCTGCATCAATTGTTAAGTCATATACTTATTTGTTTTGTTAATGTGGTGAATTGCATTCATTGTTTTTCTTATGTTGAACCATCCTTGCATACCTGTTATGCATCCCACTCAGTCATGATGAATTCTTTTTCTGATGTGCTTTGGATTCTATTGGCCAGGGTTTTGTTAAGGATTTTTGCATCTATATTCATGAGAGATACTGGTTTATACTTTTCTTTCAATATCTTTGATAATATCTTTGCCTGGTTTTGGTATTAGGGTTATGCTTGCTTTCTAGAATGACTCTGGGAGTGTTCCTTCTTTTTAAGTTTTTTAAAAATAATGATTTTGAAATAATTTGAAGTAGAATTGATGATAGATCTTTTCTGAATGTTTGGTAGAATACAGCGGTGAAGCCATCTGGTCCAGGACTTTCCCTATGAGGAAGTTCATCTTTTTGATGGGTTTGGACAAGTGTTCTATATCTATCTGGGTGAATCTGAGGAGGGCATGAGTTTCAAGGAATTTGTCCATTTCCTGTAGAGTTTTAAATTTTTCTGAGTATAGCTTTTCATAGTATTCTGATAATACAGATTTCATTTCATCTGGTCTTTTGTGATGTTACCTCTATCATTTTTTAATTGAGTTATCTCTGTCTTCTCTTCCTTTGTTTTTCTTGTGTGTTAAGTTTTCCAGTGGTTTGTCAACTTTATTAACCCTTTCAAAAAAACAGTTCCAGGTTTTATTGACAGTTTCAGTTGATTTTCTGTTTTCTATCTTGTTGATTTCAACTCTTGTTGTTATGATTTTTTTTTTTTTTATTCTAGCAGCTTTAGGATTAGATTGTTCTTTTTCTGTTTGCTGAAGATTTTTGAGT